TACTAGTAATAGTATTAGTACTAGTAATAGTAATAGTAATAGTAGTAGTAGTAGTAGTAGTAGTAGTAGCAGTAGTAATAGTAGTAGTAGTAGTAGTAGTAGTAGTAAGAATATTAATCATAATGATAGTAACAATGTAGTAATAATAACAGTGGGAACAATACAGTACTACATCTTGCGGAAGGATCCGTGGCAGTGGCCCTCTACAATCCATCCGATGCAAAGGTCGATGCTCGTTTGGCGACTTGGCTGAGGTCCTGCACCGTAAACATCCCGAATCTGACTGGTGGAAACCCTTACCCCCAAACCCTAAACCCCAAACCCTAATCCCCTAAACATCCCGAATCTTACAGGGGAATACGAGAATATAATCCCCTATAGAATATCTTCCCTTATTCCCTGCTAACCCCCAGTAAGTAATCCCCAGGGTTGGTACCAACAATCCTGCTTCAGCTGTGTGGAATCTGCTCGTGCGTGATGTTCCACGGTACTGCTGAAAGACAGAAACATGTATGGCTCAAAGAATGGACGACCATACTACATTTCAATTTCATTTCCTCGTCGTTTCTACAAAAAATAGGTAGTCCCATTCAATTACTTGAACTGAATTTGGATTGCACCATTTGTTAAACCCGATGATGCCACGGGCAGCATCGCCCTCGTGCGTGGTAAGGACTTGTCCTTGCTTGGGTGGGCCTAAACCCTAAACCCAAGGACTTGTCCTTGCTCGGGTGGACCTCTGGTACGGTGGCCAGAGTCCGGGACCTGTGGGCACAACAGGAGCCATCACTGCCCTTCTTTCTTTGGACCCTAGGGGACTTTAAGGGCTAGGGTTTAGGGTTTTTGGGGTTTAGGGTTTAGGGTTTTTGGGGTTTAGGGTTTTAGGGTAGTAGGGATACATTGGGGTTATATTGGGGTTATATTGGGAGAATGGAAAATAAAATGGAAACTACTATCTGAGTCTTTTTACAAGGTGAATGTATAGGGTGTGTACAGGGTGCTTGTTTTTCTGTTGCGCTTTGGTAGGATCTCTGTCGCAGAATCTATTTGGCATAATTGCATACGATTTTCTTGACCGTCTTGACCATTGTTGTCATCATTGCTATTTCTCGTTGTTTTTCTTCTCATCAGCCATGTTTCTTACGCTATGATCTCCTGCCCTTGACCCTGTACCCCACAACCTATACACTAAACCCTGAATAAACCGCGGGGCCTCCCAAAGTCTTAATCGCAGAAGCACCCCACATCCTGAACCCCACGGTCCCAAAGCCCAAGCCCTAGTAAGTCAGAGCGCAGAAGGAGCTGCCTCCAGCGAAGGATCGCTTCCCGACCACCGGTTCCCTTGACCTTGAGGCCAGAGTGGCTTTTTTTTCCCTAGGGTTCCCTTTTCAAGAGGGTTTTGTGCTTGTTTTGGGGGTCTTGGGCTGAGGTTTTGCGGTATGGGGTATATGACACACACATTCATGATAGGTATCATTAGCTTCTGCGACAAGAAATAAGTTGTTGCTGTCGGGGTACCCTTGATTTCCCACGAAAAGGTAGTTTCCCAAAATAAGGGGACCCCAATATAGACCCCAAAATACTATGGTCCTTGCTATAGGTGCCCCCAAAATGGTACCCCTAATTTTAGGAAACCCTAATTCCTATAATCCCCTATATAAACCCAGTTTCCATTTCATTTTCCATTTTCTTTTCCATTTGATTCTCCATGATAGTAGGTACCCCTAATTTTAGGAAACCCCCATAACCCCTATAATTCCCAAAATCCTAAACCCTGAACCCTAAACCTTATATAACCCCTTTATAACCCCCCAAATTCCCTAATTTTGGGAGACCCCCAAATATGAGCATCTCGCTTGAGGCGCACGCCACACTTCTGCGCGGGGCTCGGTAGAAGTGTATCCTCAAGTAGCCACATTTAGAAGGACAATGGTCTTTATTGGGACTAGTTTGCCGAGGCTAGTATGCAGGTTGCACAGAGCTTTACGTTTTGTGTGTAATGCTCAAGGTTGAGGCTTTCTATGTTGTTCTTGGCTTCGGAGTTCCGGATGTGGGGTTCAAGGCTTGTGAAAAAAGGAGTAAGCTTCTGATGTGATAGTCCAGAGTTCTACATAGTTCAGTTGCATAGATTTTTTTGGGATACTAAGGTACCCAACTTAGAGTAAGATTATATCCTCCTTTTGAGTATAGTGCTGAAAATCGGTAATATAGTTTTACTGGGTTCAATCACCAAAAGAGCTAAGCCCAAAAGGTCTGGCATCTGGTCTGGTTACACGCACACGAGCTGTAGTCTAAACACCTTGAAGGGGTTATAGAGGGCATTGTATAGAGGACCATTGTAGGGCTTATTGCGGGGGATACTAGGAGCTTAGACGATAGATCGCATAGCCTCTTGATCTGACCAGCGTATCCTTAGCTACTAGAACTGAAGCCTCGACTTCAACCCTGAACACATGTAAAAAGTCAGGATCCATTCTGCAATCTGATCTTCAGAGCTCCTTGCAGCTTGCGGTGCCACTATGTTATGTGCTAGTCGCCGTTGCGAGCCTGCAATCACATAACAGCATTTCCGAATAGCAGTATGGAAGCTACTAGATCAGTGTAAGTGCAGCAATTTCGGACTTCCATCTACGCCTAGACCACAATCCATGCTGCTGTGAGCAGTCCCATTATGTGGTGCAAGTTTAGACCCACCTCTACACAGTCCTGCAAAGAGACCCGTCCAATCCTGTCAGATTCTCTGGACAGTCTTGTTTACTCTTAATGGTACCTCCCATTTTGCGAAGCCCCTCATGCCAAGCCAAAATCTAAACTTAATACTAACAGTGGTGGTAATACTTCTTAACATAAATCCTTCTATTCGCAATGGTACTAATACTTGTTATAATAAATCCTTATACAATCCCCATGATAAAGTAGTACCATTCCACGGGGTTCTCTCAATTTGTAAGGTTCCGGTTCGACAAGCAGACCTCCGAGCTCGTGGTATGATATGAGGGCTTCTCGAAAAAGACGGGTCCTGTTTGGGGTCCCTACAGTTGAGTAATATTGGATTAAGATTATATACCCGCTTTTTCGGTATAGTATCTTATATAGAATGTAATCTCAGTTGAGGGCCCATACTTTGGGGGGGTGTATAGGGGCCAGCAGTTTTGAGAAGCTCCCGTATAGTGGAGCAGGTGAGGCATTTGACCCTGCCTGCGGCGTACCAAAAAGGAGATCCATGCCAATGAACCCCAAAGGTTTAGGGTTTAGGCTATGGAACCAATAATGAACAAAGTGAAAAAAGGAAAAAGTATGCAAAAGAGAATCTCCCCAAAGGTTTAGGGTTCAGGGAACCCTTAGAGCCTGTTGCTTTTGAAGCTCCTACCTTGTCTCTTTCTTCACAGCGTGCAGGTTTGCGGCACGGTGCCTCCGGAAGCTCTGGCGCCATGAAACAAAAGTCAGACGATGCGAGCCTGACTCATGCTAAGTGGAGAGGGGAACGGATCCCTGCAGCAGTCCCCACACAGTGATCATAATGCTTCCTCCTATCCGTTCTTTCCAGCTACACATGAATAAGAACTGAGGCTGCGCGTTCTCCAGATCCTGCTTGGCTGCCACGGTGTTTGGCTCGTGCTATGCCAAGGCAAACTCGATTCTTTGTTATCTTCTGAGCCGCAAGATTTCCCAACATCTCAGAAATTCCGCATGCATTTATATGTACATACTTATGTATTCTTTCAATTTCTGTGGTAGCAGCCCTGTACCAGAGAAGCACGTAGATCTCTTCACAAGCAAAATCAAACGCCATGCCGCCCCGAGCCGCCAAGCGGCCTGCGGCTGATGTCTCTGACGTCCCAGCGGCTCCAGCAGCTAAGAAACTTACTGCTGCTTAGTAGGGAATAAGGGAATGTATTACTGTATATATATATATATGGGTTATATAGGGGTTGTATTCCCTTATTCTCTGTTATAACCCCAAAATATACTTTATTATAATGTAGTAGTTTCCATTTTCTTTTCCATTATCCTTGTATTCCCTGTTAACCACCAGTAAGGAAACCCAGCCTGGAAAAAGCAAGTGATGGCAGCCTGCAGGACGTGCTCCTCTACTTCAAGTTGGCCTTGTCTCTGAGAAGGCAGTCCCCTAATATGGGCTAGAGTCTAAACTCCTTAAAGGGGTATCTATAGATGATTATATAGGGGACTGCTATAGGGGTTATTGAGGGGGATACTAGGAGTTCAGACGATGGCTAATATGCCTGACAGGTAGGTTCGCCAAAGCTCATGCTACTGACCGGCCCTTCATACACCCGGGACTTTTACATCCCCAAACTTCACACCCTAAACCCTAACCCCAACTCCTGAGCCCTAAATCATATAGTAACAAAGTAGCTTCCACTTTCGTTTCCTTTATTCCGATTTACTTGGGCCCCTAGGCCCAAAATCCTGCAACCCATACGCCTCAAAGGCCGCAAAGACCCTTTAACCCGACACTATCCTTCTTTACCTCAGTGGCAGAAGAGCCTATAAAACCACGTGCAACCTTCCAGAATCCCTATGACATCACGAGAAGATGTCCCCAGAATATCTTTGTAGAATCCTTATTAAACCTGATATAGAATCCATATAAAACCTCTTTAAAGCCATTTTAGATCCCTAAACCCCCCAAAGATGCCCGCCAATGCTCGCCAAGGCTCAGTTCCCTCAGGCCGGGCCCGCGGCGTGCAGCTACGGTTGGGACCCGATGTTCCTACCTCATGTTATGGTTTAGGGTTTTGGGATTTAGGGTTTAGGGTTAGGATTTAGGGTTTAGGGTTCAGATTTCAGGGTTTAGGGTTCAGGCTTCGGGGTTTAGGGTTTAGGGTTGAGTAGGGGATATATGGGCTGAAATCTAGGGTTTGGGGCTACATGTCGAGGATAGTCACTTGATTGAGAGATTCTCGGCTTAATCCTTGGTGTCGAGACTGGAACGACGAAGATGGCCCAGTTTTCCCACCTCACATGCCAGAACCGGTCCAATTACTCAGGCCTCAACAAGGATTTTGTGTTTAACTGTCGCAATGATGCCGGCAATCACAAATAAGAGGGTTAAGCATATTTTGGGAAACGGTTTTTTTGTGTTGTTCTGGATCTTGAGCCCAGGGACAAAATGTGAGGCGTTTCTTTTTCAGCTCCATCTTCATACCATGGGCAAAGAGGCAGATCCTGGTTCTAATACATGCTCAAAACGGGAAACCCTAAACTCTAAACCCTAACCCTAAACCCTGAACCCAAAATCCCTGAAGGGCGGGCCTCGAAGCAGAAAAGACTTTTACTGCTCAAGTGGCAGCCCTGGAAGCAGCTGCTGGCGATCTCATGAACCGGTGGGATCTATTGAGCCTAGTCCTTGATCATTGAGGCAGTAGCTTTGGGTTAAATGGCTGCATGGTAACTGCGCAGAGTTTGGTGGTCCAGCGGGAGGGATCTTGTTTCCTGAATTATGTCGGGCTTCCTGGGCTTCGGTTCTTGGAAAGGAGCGTTAGGTTATAGATAGGAGATTTTGGGGCACAAGGAGTTTGTCAATTACCTTGTAGCCCAGTCCCCCCTCCCTCAACTAACGCCCTCTGCCTCCAACCAATTTCGATCCAGTGTGCTAAGGATCGCAGAAAAGCCTTATCGTATTGCGGAGCTTGAGGCCTACGTCCACTCGCCTCATCATGCGGATCCCTATGCTCATGGGGATGAAGGGTTCCCAGCCTTCAATACGGAAGACTTCCTTACGGGTAGACGGTCATAATGGCGTCCTCCGATACCAGAACTTCAGAACTTTAGCTGAGAATTTGGCTGAGAGCCATGTAATTTAGCTGCATGTTGCTGGGCAGCCTTCAAGCAATCGCTCCCTGTGACATGCCTAGGCAAGCAAGCTGCGGCGTTTGGTACTTTCACAAGAAGGGTGGCACCTACAAGAGTGGAAGCTTCAAGGGCATGGACCTTGCTTGTGGTGACAAAGACTGCGACGTTTTTGCAGGCCTGCTCCTGCGTTCGGTGGTGGACGCAGATGGCAAGCTCACTGAAGGTCCATGCTTGGTTGTCGACAAGATTCTGGAACTAAACGGCCGCTTGACAGATCTTGATATTTCTGGGCGCTGCGTTCCGCAACCAGTTAATAGTATCATGATTATTACTGCTGGTACTACCATTGTTGCTACTATTATTATTATTATTATATCATTATTACTATTATTCTTATTACTACTATGATTATTATTATGGCTACAACTTTCAAAAGGGGCAAGGATAACATACAGTCAGGCAAAGCCTCGATAGCGGCGTTTGCAGATGGCCGCAGTGCTGCTGAGCAGCAACTCGAAAGCTGAAGCCAATTAGGAGATATAGTCTCCTTCACGGGGATTATAATGGGGCTGATGGAAAATAAAATGGAAGCTACTATAATGGGGTTATATAGGCATATTATAGGGGTATACATGAGCTGTAGTCGAAACTCCTCAAAGGGACTTATATAACATATAGGGGATTAATTAGGGGACTACCATAAGGCTTATTTAGGGGGATGCCAGGAGTTTAGATGATAGCTCACATTGGAGTACATGGGGACATAGCGGCATATATTGGCATATGCAAGGATACAGAGGATACAGGATACCAAAGTATTTAAGGTTGCATGGTGGGAAATGGGTAAGTTAATTTAGGGATAGGGTTTGGGGTTGAGTTTTTTTTTTCGCCGCGCCATGTAAACAGTTTGTAAGCATGAAACGCGTCACTGCGAGTCTTCCCTAAGCAGCCTGGTAAAGCAACCCTGAGCCCTGCCCGTCATAACTTCAGCTCCAAACCTTGAATCCTAAACCTTCAAGATCCCTAGAGCAGAAGCCTAAATCATTAGAACTATTCTTCCCTCATGTTGCTATTTCAGTTTTTATAGCCTCATCTACTCGTACTCCAAAAGCTTCCTGTAACTAAAGCGGCACCTATATGGTAGTTTCCCAAAATAAGGGGACCCCAATATAGGCCCCAATATACTATAATCCCTATTATAGGGACCCCTAAAATGGTACCCCTAATTTTGGGAAACCCAAATCCTCATAATCCCCTATATAACCCCAGTTTCCATTTCATTTTCCATTTTCTTTTCCATTTGATTCTCCATTATAGTAGGTACCCCTAATTTTGGGAAACCCCCATATACATTAGCGCGAGGCTGCGGAGCTGTCTGCACTGGACACCGGTGGCCTCAGGCTGCAAAGGGCGGAAGTTCCCCGCGCTGATCCAGTGCCTCACCTGCTACCGAACATGGAGCGCAAAATAGTATGGTCCTTATTCTTATAAGGATCCCCAAAATGGTCCATACGTGTGGGAAACAACGATACTACACACCTTCACACTGGGGTTGCTAGATTTTGAGCAGTCTATGTTCCCCTCGCTCGCCCTCCGTGCAGTGCCCAACCCCAATCCATCTCCGTGGTGTGCCCAGCCCAGCGTATCCTGGCAGTGCTCAACTGCAGAATATCCAGCAGTGCCACAGTACCCAACCAAACCTTGCAGTGCCCAACCGCATTCGTGCAGTGCTCAATCGCAGAGTATCCTTGCAGATTGCAAACGCAGAGTATACGTACAGTGCCCTAAAGTTTGCATTGCCCAACCCAGAATATTGCCACATATACCCATTATGGTACTGGGTTGCTGTTAAATTACCCCCCTATAATGGAGAGTAGAGAAGGTGTGTTAGTAGGGAACAAGGAATATAATCCCTACATAATCCTCATATATTCCCCATATAATCCTCATTTGATCCTCATATGATCTACTTGCAATTGCCGAAGTCTGAGGTGCGGTCCTCTGCGCGTGTCGGTTTGGTCCTTCGAATCTCAGCAGTCAGTTACTGTTTGAGCTTTGGTTTAGGCTTGTAAAGTTCCAAATCTACACCCCCAAAGGCAGACGCTAAACTTTGAGGATGTGAAAACTGAAGCTTTTCTAGAAGCCAGTGCTGAGATGTAGATTCATAACCTAAGTTGCTCTCATACAGGAGTTCTGGAGGTCTGCCTGTACGCTTTATGTTTCCCACATGGAATAATCTTCATAAACGTGACGCAACCAAGATCACTGCAATGAGCATAACGCCTAAATCCAACCCTCACCCAACCCTCCCTATAATCTTATAAACCCCTAACAAACACCCCGTTTGCATCTCCTTACTGGAGAAATATGCCTAAACCGTATATATCCATATAACCTTCTGACTCTAAGCGCTAAGCTTCTTGCGAATTTACGCATTCTCAAGCTGCGCTGTGGGCACGGGACGGTCCATTGGTTCCAAGGTGAAGAGACGTCTGAAGACATGAAGGGCCCCAAGACTCACATGCCGAGAGCTCAGCTTTTCAGAGCTTCCCGAAGATGAGAGCCTCACAGTAGGGATTCCACTTCAGTGGGCCTGATTCGAGACAATTTCGTGTAGGCACTTTTCGTCGTATTGGGCCCAATTGCAAACTGCTCAATTGAAGTTGGATCCCAGCTCAAAAATTAGTTGTCATCCCTTTGTAGCCTTTGTATCTTATGTATCACATGCTCCAAAACACTTTCATGATTTTTTGGGGCCCTACATTACAACCCCCATATCGCCCCTTACATGAAGCCTCAACCCTAAACCACATAGCCCCTCATCTGGCCTGTGGTTGGCTGGGAAAGAAGGAATGGAAAAAGAAACGGAAACTACTATACTGGGTTATCTAGGGGTTACTATGAGGATCCATTCCTAACCAAAGCTAACCAAAGGTAAGTTATACAAACCCTAAACCCCTAGTATCCCCCTTAAGAACTCCTAATAATACTCCCCTATATAACCTCCTTTAACGAGTTCAGACCCTAAGCCTAAACCCTACGTGTAAGTTATACAAGCCCAGCGAATTTCTTGGAGCAGCTATCGAGGCAGGGCCGGCCTGTGGAGTGAGGAGCTCAGTCTTCGCAGAGTTTCGGGGTGTAGGCTTTAGGGGGTTTAGGGGGTTTAGGGGGTTTAGGGGATTTAGGTTTAGGGGGTTTGGGGGTATGAAGGGGTTGAGGAGGTGTAGGTGACCTTAGGTGGTTTCGGGGGTTTGAGGGGGGGGCTGGTGTTTGGGAATTAGGGCCGAGGGATCAGGTGAGCTAGCTTGGCCTCAAACAGGGGTAGCCTTGAGAATTCTCGGGATACATAGTAATATGGGGGTGATGCCCTTTCAGGATTTTGCAGGTCTTTTTTGGGAGTACCTCTTTCCGCATCGGGAATAAAATTGGGGTCTGATCCTATGAAGAATGTGTTCGGATGCCTGTGGATGATATCGTAGTCAAGTAAGGGTAGTGACCCAAAGAGCTTTGAAACAAGGTTCAACTAAGATCTCAACATATCTCAAAACACTTCAAAAGGCTTCTGACGTGCTTTTTATGGTTCCTTCAAAACTGCACGGGCATTTTCTGCGGATGTCCATTCTTCCCTTGCAGCAAATGCAGCTTTGCAAGGTTCTGCACCAGGCCATACCGCTTCTCCACGGTTGCTGAACGGCTGACCAAGTTCAGAAGTGGCTTCGTGGCAACTGCCCATCTGACAGGACCGGGCCACCCTAAACCCTAAAACCCGAAATCCTCAAAACCTTAAAACTCCAAAACCTTAAAACCAAAAAACCTAAAACTTTAAAACCCTAGAACTCTAAAACTGTAAAACCAAAAAACAATACTTTAAAACCTTAGAACCTTAAAACCCTAAAACCCTAAACCCTAAGCCTTACCCATACAGAGCCCAGGGATGCTTGTGAGGAGGGCTTACCTTCTGGGTAGGCCCCTGGGATATTTTAATATTTTCCTTAATGGCCTTAATAAGGGACCCTATATACTCATATTTTTCAAGGGGTTTTAGGGGCCAACCCAGTCTTCAAACTCCAGTGCTGAGCGAGGTTGCTAGTTCAGAAGGTACTGCCATAGATTTATAGCAAGGATCCATTCCGCCAGTCCTTCCGGATAGGTCAATCACCTTTCGCACTAAACAACTGAAAAGCCCTAAACCCCCAAACCCCCAAACCCCCAAACCCTCAAACCCCCAAACCCCCAAACCCCCAAACCCCCCAAACCCCCAAACCCTACCGCCAAAACTCCAATGCTACAGGCGTGGGTCCTTACCATGACTGTGCCCTTGCATTTGCAGGCGCAGAGGGTGTTGGCAAGCTGGGCCTCTCTGACCAGAATTTCTCCAAGTATGTGACTCTCGCGGCCCAACAGACAGGGTTGAGTGTTTAGGATTCATGGTCTAGATCATGTTGACTTTCACCTCTGAGGTGTGATTGGTGCGCCTTCTTCGCCCAAACAGCGGAGCTAATTTTGCATTTCTGGTCATATCAAAAGGCGACGCTGAAGGTGGACGTGGGGCTGCTCATAGTGATCCGCTACAACCTGTGAAGCAACCTATCCAATGCGTTCACGCTTGTTACTCTCAAAATGAGTATTGGCCTTAGGCACTCAACTCCAGACTCTAAACCCTAGCTCCTGAAGCCTGAGCCTTGAATCCTAAACCCTAAAGCTCCCAAATCATATGGGCTATAGTATAAACTCCTAGTATCCCCCTTAATAGCCGCTATAATACTCCCCTATATACTTCCCTACATAGCCCCCTTCAAGGGGTTTAGACTATAGCTCATATACCCGCAACAACCCAGACAATCAACACCAAGCCCCAACCTGAAACCCGAAGTCCTCAGGAAAGCCGCGGAAGATGGCAAATCCCAGGATCCCAAAGCGTGGATCAACAGGAAGATATCCACTCAGCCGCTGGGAAGCTTGTGGCAGAGTATGAAGGTTAGGTTTTAGGGTTTGGGGACTAGTAATCCCCTCCCCTGATATAAAAACCCCTACCCTAATACTAAATGCTCCCATTGTGATAAACTATGAAATGTTTGGAATATTCAATACGGGGGGAGGGTGGTGGTGATATTAGGGGAAAGGGATTATACGAACAATGCATCGTGTTGTGTATCTTGACTACGTATCGTCCATGCAATCCGGGCAATTCTCATGGGCTTCTCTTACATACCTACCAAATGCTACAGCCTTCATTCCGGGATCCCAGAAAAGACCTGCACATTTTCAGAATCCATACTGCTCTAATGTGTGGACATCCCGCAAAGCCTTTAATCCCAAATTGGCCCTTAAGCCGAGGCTTCCTGCCTTAGTAAGAAATCCGTGAATGGGTCTTTTTGAAATCGTGGGTAGTTTCGGGGGTATGACATATAATACGCACCAATGGGGTACAATAATCTAGGTTTTGGCAGCTCCCCACATGGACAAAAACAAGGCCCCCCCCCCCAACCGTGACCCCTAAATCCTAAACCCCAAACTCTGAATGCAAACTCCTGAGCCCTAACCCCAAAAACAAGCTCGAAACTCCCTAAACCCCAAAAGCCTAGACTTTCCGGGGGCTGGTAGGGAATAAGGGGGCCTATCATACAGGGATTCCCTTACTCCCGAGTAACCACCAGGAGGTAGTGGCAACATCCAAGAGTTGGCCTACAAGGTTCCTGAAAATGTTCTTTAATTTCTGTTACCTTTAATCCTCATATTTAGCTGAAATTGTAATTAGCTGAAATTGTAATTTCTACTGGGGTTCCAAATCCCTTAGAGTTGGCTGTTGAGGCCAGAGCTCTGCGAGTTCATAGGGGCCTGCCATGGCGTTCTGGCCTCCTTGCCGTAATGGAAGCGTGGTATTACCCCCAATATGGTTAGGGTTTAGGGTTTAGGGTTTAGGATTTAGGGATATTAGCCCCCCAATAATGGAGAATCACATGGAAAAGACAATGGAAAATCACATGGAAACTGGGATTATAGGACAATTAATAGGGATTGGGGCTATATGAGCTGTAGTCTGAACTCCTTAAAGGGGGTTATATAGGGGAATCTATAGGGGACTAGTATAGGGGTTATTAAGGGAGATACTAGGAGTTTAGATTATGGCTCACATGGGGGTTTCCAAAGTTGGGGGTACCTTTGTGGAGATCTCCATAACAAGGGTTATAGTATTTGGAGTTTAAGTTGGGGTCCCCGCATTTGGGGAAATTACTACATGAAGCCACCGAAAAGGGTCCCATGAAGAGTTCAATGTTAGCTGGGTGAGAGGAGTTCCTGGTGGAGATAGTTTCGTTGTCGGCAGCATCTCCACCAGGAACTCCTGCAGTTTGTCGTCGTAAAGTTTTACAACCTTCTTCTGCAGAAGTTTGGTTGAGCTGCGAGAGCTTGCAGAAATCGTTTGGAAAAAAGGGACGCGCGCCGCCAGGGTTTAAGAGCAAGAGCCAAGAGCCACTAGCGAGGAATTACATGCCTGCATGCTGCTGCCTGTAGGACTCTGAAAACTTGTTTGTCAACGTAGGGGTTTCCAGCTTTCTTGTTTTCTTCAGGCGCCTATACTCTGCATCCTTGTATGTCGGGGGGGTGTATTGTGGCAGCACATGTTGGGAATTGCCCTTGTCTAGCAGGATGGAGCAACGCTGAGCCCTAAACCCTAAGGCCCAAAACGTTCCGAAGGACTTGCTGCCGTCGGGCATGTACGTGCTGCCTTGCTTCGACTCCGTCCTAACCTGGTGTCCCTGCTGCGTTTGCTTTAGGGCTAGCAAGGGCTTAGGGTGTACAGTCTAGGGCTTAGGGTTTTATATTGGGGTAAATAATGAAACAGAAAGTGGAAACTACCATAACGGAGAACCAAATGGAAAAGAACATGGAAAAGGAAGTGGAAATATTCGTTGGTGCTTCAAGGAGGGGTCAGATCCCTGTAACGATCTGTACATAATCTCCTACATTAATTTCCAGGCTTTCAAACCACCACTGCCGCTTGGGCATCTGTAAGACAAGGGTTTCCAGGGCTGGGGGGTATTTGGAATTTCTGAGCAGGATTTGTCCTATTGACGGAAGTTACTACTCACACCTATGAGTAGACAGCAGCGCAGCATTTTTCATGCTGATCTGCCAGGGGCAGAGGCAGCCAACAGTTCAATATTTTCTGCCTGCTGTGAAGCTTGCCTCTGGTCCAGGAGCCTTGTTCCAGGATGAGTGTCATCCCAGAATAATCTAACTGAAGCCCCAAACCTACTTTCAAACTCCAGCAACGCGACTCAGTATGCGCGGAACAGACTTGCTGCGCTAGGCAGGGTGCCCTTTTCATCAAGCAGGGGCTGTACAGGGGTGCAGTTTTCAAGCCGGGTGCTCAGAGAGCTCGTGTGATGATATGCGTGCTTGCTTGCTGGGCTGCGTCATTGTTTTAGTTGCCCAAATGTGCCCCAGTAACCCATATTGAACCCCTATTTAACCTTATGTAATATATAACCTCTATTTAACCCCTATATAACTCCTAGTGCCATGCGCCGGCAACCCTTGTGTAGCTGTGTAGCCGTCGGCGCGTTGTGGATCGAGCAGAATCCTCAACCTCTTGAAGCCCCGTGTCCTGTACTACCTTACAAGCCCCGAGAGATCCGTATGAATCCAAAAAATCTACACCCCCTCGTCACAAAGCCTCATAAGCCCCAATAAGCTGGTAAAAATCCTTCCAGGCACCTAGCTGGGAAGAAGGCAGAGTCAGGTATGGGAGACGTTGCGGATTTGCAACTGTTAAGCAGTTGAAACTAAGTTACCATACTATGGATGAAAAGATAGATAAGAAGGGTCCATTACACTGGTAGCTTGCATCATTGAAGCTCCTTAAAGCTGCAACCTAGTGACCTAGTAGTAGGGTTTGCACGAACGCGCTGAAAGTTGTGTGGAGTCACACACGGTTCTTGAGTGGCCTCGAGGTCTTACCAAGGAAAACTTCCCAGTGTTTCGAATCAAGGCAGGTTCAGCACTTGCGGTTTACTAAGCACATGAATTCTTTCTTCAAACTCCAAGCCCCAACGCAGCACGATGGAGAGACCATGGTCCGGGGACCCCAATGCCTAAAAACCACGAATGCCACTTGAACACAGGACGGGGGTGGCCCTACACTACTAGAGCCCTGGAGACCTTGAAGACACCAAACCCTCAACGCCCTGAGCACCTAAAAAGCCTTTGAGGTTTCGCCTGGTGCTGCCAGAGGAATATCCGGACCAGGGCCCCGGCTCTGGCCCCAGCAGGGCCAGTATTCTGCTTTTGGGTGTCGGGCTTGGGATTAAGGGTTTAAGGTTTCATGTTTGGGGTTTAGGGTACTGGGCTATCTGGGAACGCATAGGGCTCCGGAGAGATTTGGATCCACATGAACATTCCATTAGGACGTGTAAGGGCAATAGACAATTTGATAGATTGGGATACCCTGCAGCCCCTTACAATGATGCGTAGCGTCCCCAAACCTTAAACGTGGTGTTAGGGTTTAGGGTTTAGGGTTTAGGTTTGATGGGCTGATTGGTCAGGGATCTCGAGATGGAAACGGCTTGTACGGTGTAGGGTTTCGGTTTGATTGTGGGTGTTTGTTTTATGGGGTTAATGGTGGGTTGGGCTTGGGTTAAGGTTTATGGGTGTAGGCTAAACCCCAAACCCTAAACCCTGAAGGGTTTTTCAACCCTGAAGGGTTAGTCTTACTTGCTTATGTTTTGGTCAGCAGTTCGGGAAGTATGGCTGAGGGATTGCAGGGTATGGGGGAAACAGAGTTTATGGGTCATTGTCGTGGCTGTGTCTTAAAGTAAGGCTGGGACCCCTAAACCCCAAACACTACACCCTAACACCCTAAACTCCGAACCATACCTCATGACGGATGTCAGCAGGGGACCCTCGGTTTTCAAGAATCCTAAATAGACCCGATTTTGACAAATTCCCATGTAGGTATTCCGTAGGGAGATGGGGATGAGTGACCCGCGGTTAGGCCCCGGTACGGCTCCTTGGAGGAGCAATGATTTTTTTTGGGGGGGAATGTCGGGGCAAGCCGTTAGCTTTTTCATGCCCAAGAAGCGCTGCTGAGATCTGTTCTTCACCTCGGAAGTCTTCCACCCCATGGCCGGCACCCCAGCTACAAGATTGTGTTTGGAAGTCCACCTGGAAGGACCTTTCTCTTAAAGGGTATCATTGAAATTGAAACTTAAGGGCCTTTCTTGGACATCAGCTTCAAGGGTCCCTACATCAGGTGCATGATGCGCATCATGCCAAGATTGGGTCGGGAAATTGGATTTTCGCGTGCAGTGCTTTGTGTAGGATTCAGGGTGTAGGTCGCTTCGCGAGTCTTTCAAGTGGAGCTATGCAGGACCACGCCAGCTTCCCCTGCCGCGATGAGTTTTCCAAAGGGGTCAGGGTCTAACAGGAAGAGGAGGGTTTGTTTCCATTTTCTTTTCCATTATCCCTATGTAGCCTCCAATACTACACTCTATCATATAATCTCTATATAATACTTATATCCCCTAAATATATCTTCATCTATATATAACCCTAAAGCCTATACCCTAAACCCTAAACCCTTATAACCGGTCCGGGATCAGGTTCAGGGCTCAGGGCTTCCTGGCAGGTTGATCCCAAGACCGGGCAAGTGGAGCTGGGGTCGCTGTTTCCGGAGTGGTGAGCTGACAGCGCTTATCCGGTTTAGGGTTTTAGGGTTTTAGTGTTTAGGGTTTAGGGTTTTAGGGTTTCCGTACAATCTCCTTAAAGAACCCCAGCATCCCTGGGCTCTGTATGGGTAGGGCTTGGGGTTTGGGGTTTTGGGGTTTTAGGGTTTAGGGTTTTAGGGTTTTAGTGTTTAGGGTTTAGGGTTTAGGGGATTCTATTGGGGTTATATAGGGATAATGGAAAAGAAAATGGAAACTACGGGGATTATAAGGGTTATATAGGGATTTTCGGGTATATATATATATATATTTATATTGGGGTTATATGGGGACAATGGAAAAGAAAATGGAAACTACTATTTAGGGTGTAGGGTTATTACCCCTCATAGTGGAGAATCAAATGGAAAAGAACATGGAAAAAGACATGGCAACTGGGTTTAGGGTTTAGGTAGGTAGCCTGTGATAGGCTTTCCATTCATTGGGTTTGGGCCCGAGTGCATAGTTCCCAGCGGTTGCATTCAACAGGGGCATATCACATAACTTGTTATCATGTTTTTTGGTGGTTCCGTAGGAATATTGGCGAGTATGTGTGCACATCTGTATGGGGTGTCCTTGTGTGCGGATCATAAAGTCGGTGCTCACATCATCTAGGTTGAGGGGCAGCCAGCCACGTGCTCTTCCTATAATCCCACAAAGTAGACGTCCACCAAGAAAGGGACATGATCCTCCTCTGCAGTGTCCAACAGTGAGGCCGCTTGAGAGAGAGAGGGAGGTCTCTCGCATAGCCTATAGAAGAAGAGAGAGACCTTGTTACCGCAATGCCCTGTTTTACAGGGTATATATTGGGGTTATATAGGGATACTGGAAAAGAAAATGGAAAGTACTATTTAGGGTTTAGAGTTTAGGGTTAGTATCCCTCATAATGGAGGAGGCCCGAGATGCTAAGCGGAGGTAAAAGTTCGATGGGTGCTGTGAAGCTTTCCCAGTTCTGTGTAAGGTAGTGTACCCGAAATCCTACACCTGCACCCTAAACCCGATACAGGCCCATACTGTAGTTACTAAGAATCCAGGGTGGGGCACCTGTGAAGCTGATGTGCCCTGAGTAAGTAGGATCGTCTAGATCAGACTAGTGTTTCATAATATGAGTCTCTGCCAGGCGGCCAGGACGAGATTTCGCGGCCTTCGCGTTGCCGACTTCCCAGACAATCACCCTTCTGCCTTTGATGGGTTGAATTACAACTTTGCGGCAGGACTTCGGGGTTGCGGGTTTTGGGGTCTGGGAGTTTTGGGGTTAAGGTAGTATCTTGGGGTTCAAGCAGGTTTCAAGAGTTGGGGTATCCTCCCTTAAACCAACGTGTTACTTGAGAAGGGCTTTTGCATCTGCCCTCTGCGCAGGCCCGTTTAAGATTGTGTGTTTGAATGAGCGCCATCGTTGTAATGCCAAGAACAGAGAGAAGCATACCTACTAATGAGCACTCCAAGTAGGATTCCTGCTGGCGAATTTCCCCTACTGATGACAACACATGACCATCTGAACAGCTGCACTTGATCTTCTGTTGCCATTGCTTGTGTAACATTGCCACCAGTAGCTCAATATTCTACCGTAAACGCCCAGCCCTAAACCTAAGCCCTAAACCTTACTTTGGCCTTGCAGGGCCCGTAGCACCTTAAGCCCTAAGCCCTAACATCTGAAAACTAAATGCAGAGTCCTAGTTGGGCCCTACATGGTAGCTTCCCAAAATGAACCCCCAAATTCTATGGTCCTTATCATGGGGACCCCCAGGAAGGGACCCCTGATTTTGGTAAACCCTAAACCCCATATAACCTCTATGTAACCCCCAAATAACCCCTACAACCCCTTTAGTTTCCATTTTCTTTTCCACTGCTAAACACTCTATATCCCTAACTTTTGGAAATCCTTAAACCCTAAATCCTAAACCCTAGATATTCCTAACCGGAGGAATTCCTTACATGAGCTATAGTCTAAACTCCTTAAAGGGGGTTATATAGGGGATTATATAGGGGACTACTATAGTGGTTATTAAGGGGGATACTAGGAGTTTAGACTATAGCTTACATGGATCGTTGCAGTGGATCCATGCCAAGCCCAGGCCTCACCTACACCGGGCCTTCCTGCGCAGGGAGTGAGAACAACCTGCACTTCTTGTCTTTGGTAGGTGTTGGGGTTTAGGGTTTAGGCTTCAGGGCTTAGGTTTTGGGGTTTCGGGGTTGGGGTTTGGGGTTTAGGGTTTGTGGTTGATAGGCTTTTCCAGAGTTCGTCCATCAGGAGGGTTCAGGTTTTCAGGTTTGGGATATGGATGTCTGAAAGTAGACAGAAGCCGGCTCGTTTTCGTCCAGACGGTTTTCCCAGTGCATCCCCAGAATTTATCCACCCAGCCTTCTTCGCGTGTGGCCCTAGACCCTAGCCCCTAAACCCTAAACCCTAAACCCTAGACCCTAGACCCTAAACCCTAACGCGTCTGCCCACTCCAGTCCCAGCCTTAATCTGACAACGGTCAGGTGAGTCAGGTGAAGCAATGCTAATAATTTTGGGTTTGGGATTCTCGGTCTGCGAGCATTTGTTACAGGGACTTGGGTTGTTGAATTTATGTGCGCTCTTTTGGGATAGTGAGCCTAAAGCAAGGACTCTTTTTTATTTGCGGGGATGTAGAGGCACCATGCAACATGAGAAACTTGCACTTGTAGTTTAGGAACCAATCTGACTCCAAGCATTTTGAATCAGATGTGGCCATGTCGCAAGCAGGGGTCCCCCAAAGCCGTAAAGTCTGCCCAAGCACGACGTTTCAGTATATTATAATTATACCATAATATAGTATGATATACTGTATTATAGTATGTTATAATTCGTATTTCAGCATTCTGTTGGAGCCTTCAAACAAGGACTCCAGTTTTATTGAGACACCCCTCGAGTGCCCATGCAAGAGGTACTTTTCCAGCAACGCGCGGCCAGCACTGAATCCAGAGGCCCAAACGGATCGGTTCTGGGCTTGATTTTGTGTGGCTATGGGCGCTCGTATGTGAGTCAGAGAGTGTACTTCTGCAGGTTTGGTGGGCTCTTCATTGGGGTGTTCATGCCCTTGTGCGACCTTGCTCTGTTGCCTTGCAGAAGGCTAAGCAGCTCTTCATATCGGATCCAGCCCTGTTTGCCGAGCGCGCCGCTGCCCCGTACCTGTAAGGCAGTTCTTTCTGTTGCCCAACATCCACGGTATAGCCAAGATTCTTGCTGCGTTACAGCCTTCAAGGCAAAGGCGTGCGCGACCAAGAGCCTGTTCAGGACTCAGAAGGCTACGTGCCCAAACGATGCCAGGGATTATGATTGAGGCTTTTTGCATGCCAAAATAGCAAGTCCTCAGATGGCAACCTGAAGATGGGATCATCTGTGGCACTTCCCGAGAATTTGTGCATTCTTTCGCGATGACGTGTGCCAAAATTCGCAAGAATGCTCAGGCAGCATGTGTATGACAACGCTTCAGGGCTATCTCCTCAGACACATGGTGTTGCCAGACTTTCATGAATCTTCAACTCCGCAAGCTGTTCTTTTTTGGAGGTCTTCTCTGCAGTTTACAAAAGGGCCCGCCGAGGCTGGAAGAAGCTGTTGCGACCGTTGTGTGAGCGAATTGGGCGTGCCTGCTTCACCCAGGCCCACGACGCCATTCTCGAACACCTCAAAGCTGATCCATCCGCTTCACTAGAGGCAGCATGCCTGAGCTTTTGCTCTTCACTAACATTGTAACTTCCTGGAGCCAAAGATTGCATTTTGTCTGACGAATTTTGCAAGAGACAGCAAACCGCGCAGGAGCGGAAGTCGGCCTTCATCGATTGGTCGGGTGCCTTCAGAAACCCTTGTGTGGGGTGCTGCTTGCATTTTTCTAGCTCCCCAGCAAGAAGTCTGAAGCGAATAAGCCTAGCAGGGGCCTAGCAGCCTTTGAGGTTCTGTGACCACTACGCTCACAAGCGCACAAGGGTTGGTGTGGCGCAGGGAGACGCAGAGGCCGGGTAACAGCAGCTGCAACCAGCACTGGTGGTAAGACACAGAAGAATCCTTCTCCCAGTGCTACCCCCTTCACATGCAAAACTTCAAAGACAGTTTAAGGCATAGTAATTGTAAGCGCTAGCGCATGTCTGCCTCGGCAGCCGGGCTTGCCAAGGGTCTGGCAGGCCAGAGGAAGGGCCGGGGTGTGGGGTGGGGGTCTGCTGGGGGGGGCGGCCAGTCTGGGAGGGCTGGAAGGGAAGGGAGGGGAAGAAGGAAGAAGGCTGCCATATACCATAATCTAAACTCCTTAAAGGAGGTTGTATAGGGAATTATATAGGGGACTGCTAAAGGGGTTCTTACGGGGGGATACTGGGGATGAATCTTTTGCCACGACCTGTCTAAAGGCCTGGCAGGCGGGGGATGGGAGCCTTGGAGTGAAATCATGTTAGGATGATGACAAATCCCCTCACATGAGCTGTAGTCCCAAAGTCCAAAGTCGTTAAAGGGGGTAATATAGGAATTATATATAGGGGACCACTATAGAGCTCATTAAGGGGGATACTGGGAGTTTAGACTATGACTCACATGATGTTAACACCTCAAGACAACATCTGCAGAACAGTTCAAAGTAGAGACGCCTGGCATGCTGCCGACTTCTTGAGTTTTTGCTTCCTGTGGCCGTTCGCAGCTGCTTACCATGTACCGCTAGAACTGCCCAATGTGACCATACCACGGCTCCTTCTCGACCAATGCCACAAGAAAGCCATCTTCTCATACTAGTAATAATAACAATACTAGTAATACTAATATTAGTGATTCTAATAATGAGCCAGCATTTGAGTGATCTCGGATCTAATGCTCTCTGAGTTGATCCAGAAGGATACAATCTTGGGCTGACCAGCAACTTGCTCGCAGCTTCATAGCAGGCATATGTAGGTAGTTTGTCAGCATCAGGGCCGTTTAAGAATACGCCCATAGTAGCTGCATTGGAGCATCGACTTAGAAGTGTCCACACTTGCGATGACTCACGTGTGCTTCAGCCCAAGAATTGCAAGCTGACGGAGGGCCAAATGTCATGCCCCAGTGGTGGCAAACTGCATCATCGTTTGCGGCCACTTTTGTCTGCTTTGCGTCGCTCAACTTGACTTACAGCGTTTCATCGTCTTTTCCTCATCAGAACCATCTAGGCAGTTGTGAACTAATTTCATGGCAGCTTGCCATTGCCTAAACCCCTAAACCTTTCTCAATACAACCTCAATATAACCCCTAATTATGTAATATAGTAGTTTCCATTTTCTTTTCCATTATCCCTATATAACCCTATATAACCCCTATATGTTTTCAGAGGTTGATTGTTGCCTGCTCGCGCCCTTTCAGCGGCGCCGGCATCTTTCTGTCGCGAGAGAAAGCTGGCGCCGGTATTGTCCTGAAGCAACCTGTGGATGAAGCCCATCTGCAGCAGGACCAACTCCATGTTGTGCCTGGTGCCTTGGGCTGCCAATTGGGAAGGGTCATTACTTATCCGTTGTTTCTGACGATTCTGCGGTAGTTCAGTACTCAAAATTTTTCGCTGTAAGCTTCAAGAGCTAAAGGATAGGTGGCTGTCTAAGGGGTTGCCTTTGTTTGTGAGTCCCTTGCAGGGCTTGAAACAAGCACAAATCCACAAACTGACGCTGACGTTGAGACCGGCAGCACACCGTGGCAAGCTTATACAGAGACTGAGACCGAGGGTGGAGTGTCACAAGTTGTTGCCGGCATCGAGACCGAGGGCACGGAGTCGCAGGAGAACGAGAGCACAGAGTCGCAAGCTGATGCTGGGATTGAAGACATGTTGGAAACGCCCAAGTTGTATCCACTGGACAAGCAGTATAGCCAGCGCACGAGGCCTTGCCCAAGCACATGCCTTGGTCGCAGAGAGACGGAGAAGTGTGGCGAATGGGCTTGTTGTGCTCCCATGAAGCCTGCTCCAGCGGACTCCCCCGTCATACTTCCTCATGATCATGTGGCGGTCTTTGAGTCCCACTGCGTAGGCAACATCGGCCATGCATTCCACGAAAGGTTTTGGCCACTCTTTTGGTGGGCCACTGTGTATGGAGATTCTGACATGGCCATACTTCTAGATCGAAATATATCGCAGCCTGCATGTCCAAAGGGAGTGCCCTGGATGGATGATTTATTCTGGCTTGTGGCCCATGAGCTGAACTGGAAAGTTTACACAGTGTACAATTTGTCGCAAGCGCCCACTTACTGCGCCAGGGGCCAGTTGCACATTGTCAAGCCCTGTGCAAAGCCACGAACGCTGCGACCAAGGAAGCTGCTTTGGTTTGGCAAGCGTGTGATCTGGTCTGCAGTGCTTGGTCAGCAGCCTTCCAAAGACATCTTGCCCAACTCGGGGCGCGTGGTGCTTATTTACACGCGCGGGAAAGCCGACACCCGCCGTATCCTGGAAGCGCCTCGTCTGAAGCCTCTCTTCGATGAACGCTTCGACGTGCAGATCGCGGACGATGTTCCCAAAAGGTTGGTGGACCAAGCACGCTTCTTTTCGGGAGCCTCGCTGATTTTGGCACCGAACGGTGGGTGGATGCCAAACGTGATATTCATATCCCCAGCAGCGTGCGTCATAGAGCTGCACCTTTACCGCAAGGACAGTTGGATTGAGATGTTCGGACTTTCACACACTATTGCGGAACTGCTTCTGATTGTAGGAGATTACTCTGATCCGTCTAAGCCTCGCCTCATCCGCCCCAAACGCGTCGGGGGTGACGATGACTTCCTGGTCACTGGTGGGAAGGACAACCTTTTCCGTGACATAGCGAAGCGGATGAAGCGAAGCCGAGTGTGCAAGCGCTACCGTGCAAAAGCATGGATCCTAGTCATGTTGAGAGTTCCATGAAGGCCCCTCGTACACCCTCAACGTGTCGCCTTCAGCTTGCCTCTCGGGTCAGGCCTTAAAGGTACAGATTCATGTAGGTATCAGGAGATGGAAGCACAAGGACCAGCTTTTTGTTCGGGAGGGGTTCCAAGTGAGCGGGAGTTGCGTGCAGCAACCGGACTGGACAATCTGTGACACCCATGCATCAAGTGAAGGCATGGGGTTGCGGGTGGGCGCCCTCTAACTACACAAACCTGATGCGAAGAAGGCTCCCAGAATGTCACCTCAGCTTCTTCAGGCTGGGTAGGGCGCGGTGGGACCCATCCAAGAATTTGCACCTCCAAGGGGGGACTCACAGCCTAAACCTCATCTTCAGATCCCCCAGCAAGCTCAAGCAACTTCAAATGCCTACACAAGCTCAAGTCCCTAAACAGAACTAAACTCCTAAACTCAAGACCCTGACCAGCAATCCATATCCACCTCGCACCAGGCGGAGACGATCTTGCTGGACGCCAACGCCTCGGGCAAGGGAGTCTTGGGTTGAGGGACTATCATGAAGAGCTGGGAAGAAGCCAGGACGTCTGTTCTGGGATCCAAGCCAGTTCGGAATGGTACTGGATTTTGGATTGGGGAGTAAACTGACGCCATCAAGTGTCGGAATAGCCTGCTTTTCCTACCTGGCGACGGACAAGCGCTGCTGCTAGAAAAGCGTCGTAGCAGCCGCAGCTGTGAAGCCTTCCTGGAGACCAAGGCTGTCGAGCAGTAAGGCTCTGCTGTGAAAATGACTGTAAGTACGTCAGTGTAGCACAATGATACATTAGGGGGAATACTTGATATGAGGGGGTGGGGTTTCACCATTAGGGGAAGTGATTAGTTATTTGTAGATTCAGGCAGCGTTGGGGGCTGCTGCGTCGCGCGATAGGGAATCCCCAAGAACGAGCACGTGCCTGCAAGGGAGATCCTTGCGGAAATGACTGCCCAATTTGGGCCTTTCCAAAAACAGGGGTCCAGCCCTTCAAAGCCCCCAAACGCTATACACATTATTCTACAGACCCCGAAGAATTTCTGGAAACTCCCACACAGTGGGAGAACCGTGAGATAACATAGGTTTTGATACATTGCCGTTTCTTCTTCCAAGCCACGACACAAATTTGACAAACAGACTCGACCCTAAACCCTAAACCCTCAACCCTAAACTAAACCCTAAACCCTAATGTCAGAAATTTCGACTTAGGCCAAGGGTCGCCTGGTGGATGGTGCCTGTTCCTCGGGTGTTGCCCAGGTGGTAGATTCAGGAGTGTTCAGGGTTCCAGGTTTAGGGTTCAGGTTCAGGGTTTAGGGTTCAGGGTTTAGGGTTTAGGATTAAGGGTCCTTGGCTAGGACAGCATGTAGCTCAAGACGTATACGCGGCCAGCGAAGACAGGGTGAGATTTTGTCAGGTCTACTTGGTAGCTTCCCAAAACAGGGGACCCCAACATAGACCCCAAAATTCTATGATCCTTCTTATAGGGAAGGCTTTGTCAGCCAGAGCCCAGATCCGTAACCCGAAGCGCATTGGGTGAAGAGTCCGCATAATCCCAATCCTCCTTGAGTCCGAAACCTTGCTGCCCTAAGAATTTACATCAGAGCATCCCGAACCGTGAGCCGAATGCGTATGTACCTCAAGGTCCCAAACATCCCAAAATCCCAGCACAAAAACCCAAAACCTAAAATCCACCAAAAAAACCAAAGGTGGGTTTGCCAAAATGAGCGGTACCATTTTGGGGGTCCTATAATAAGGAGTACTGTATTTTGGGTTCTCTATGGGGTTCCCCTTATTTTGGCAAACTACCAAACCCCAAAGTCCCAAACCCCTAAACCCTAAACCCTAAACCCTAGACCCTAAACCCCTTGATGGAGTTAAAGGCCGGATACCCCAAAGCTGGGACGAGCGCGGCCTCCCCTCCCACGACACTGGCCCCACTATTCAAGAAGGTTTTGTTTAGGGAAAGTCCATTAAACATAGCAATAATACTAGTAGGAATAGTTGGAATAGTAGGAATAATCGTAATCATAGTGATAATTTTTGGTTTGGGGTTTCGGGTGTAGAGGCTGAGGGGTTCTTACGGATATATGCAATGATACGGCTATGGTAGGGCTTGAGGGGGTGGTGTTCATGTTTCTGTGGTTTCTAGTAAGAATGATGAAGAAGACTCATGTCATCCCTTTCCGAAAAAAAGCCCAGGAAAGCTCTCGAGAAGGGTCATGATGAAGAGGCTGCTATGTCGTGGCTCTACCGGGGCAATGTTAAGTGGTGGTTGTCAAAACTGGGGGTATGCTGGATGGTTCAATCAGCAGAGTATAAGCAATATCACCTCGTGAAATGCATGAGTATTTGCGCATTCGCCAGAGCGCCAGGAAAATCTAGAAAGTAGAGCCCCCTCCCAAACATGATATCCTACACTACTATAGGGTAATTTCTAGGAACCACTTAAGGGGGATCTACTTCGTAGATCCTCCAAGGGCACTTGTGCATGGTTTCCTTTGCCAAGGAAGGCCGTCATTTACATCGAGTTGCTGCTTTTGCTCCTCCTTTCTATTCCTGACCAATACTGATATTAGTTACATACATGATTACTATTGGCAAGTATTATCAGTAATTTCTATAGCATGATAATCCTCCTCCTGCTGCTGCTGCCGCCGCCGCGGTTCTTCTTTGTTTTCTTCTTGTTCGCGTTCTCGTTGGCGGCTGTCGCCACTGGCAGTTGTCGTCGTGCTCGTCGTGATCCGACTGCTCTTATCGGTTTTTCTGCCAAACTACAATGCTGACCAATGACATCCGGCTTCTTGAATGCCCGCGGCTTTGCGTCACTGTTCTGGAAGGAGTTCTTCTAGATCTGTGAGAGGAGTTTGTACAAAGACTTTCTGTTTCAAAGTAGGGAATGAAGGAACATAATCCCTATAGAATCTACATACATATATTATATTCCCTTATTCCCTACTAACCCCCAGTAAGACAAGTGTTTCACCCGAAGATGAGCCTCGCAGTTCGAGCATACAAAGACGTGACGGTTTCAGTGTCTCCTCTCTTTTCCTTGCCTCATGTTGGAAGGGAATGAAGTAATGGATCTCCAAAATGAATCTGCATAATATCCACGCTAGCCTTAAGATACCCTCGTAATCAATTCCCAATGGATTAGACCCCAGTGGAGGTCCAGGCTAATTATAGGCTTTCTAGTACTCCAGCCACAGCTACCCTAGATAGAAGTGCATTCTCACAGTTACTGAGTAGATTATTATGGGGGTTTCCCAAAATTCGGGGTACCATTTTGGGGGTCCCTATAAGAAGGACTATAGTATTTTGGGGTCTATATTGGGGTCCCCCTTATTTTGAGAAAGTACCTTATTGTGCCGGGCCTGCAGGTGGCTTTAACGCCAGGTCGTTTGTAGCTTTGAGCCGTCTCTGGCCTGAGTGGGCCAGATGGAAATACCTACCCATACTTAATGGTAGGGTTTAGGGTTTAGGGTTTAGGATTTAGGGTTTAGGGTTTAGGATTAGGTATTCACTCCCCCACTCCTGTTTAGTTTGTTTGCAAGCCAGACCATGCGTGACTCGCCCTGCGGACCAGCTTTTGTAGTTGCAGCCCACATGAGATTCATGGGCGCTGTTCGGCAAAATGTATGTTTTACATAGCCCTCATAGAAAGCATGCATTCGCCACAAAACTATTACTCGGAGAACATTCATGGAGGACTGCAACAGGGACGCGGGTCTCATACCCCCAAACCCTATGATCGTAAAACCCTCACCGTTTCAGCCCTTAAGCCCTGAAGACTACAAACTCACATCCTTGACCGTAGGCCTAAGGGCCCTAAACCTTTGAACCCTACCCTCAAACCCTTCAACCCTAACCCCTGCGGCCTAGACCTTCATTAAGAGCTTTAAGCCCTGAAGATTCATCCACATGAGTAACATTTTACTTGGGGATGCTATGGTACCCATTATAGAGTAAGATTATATCCTCCTTTTTGGGGTATGGTATTTTAGATAAGGGATATTATCTTACTAGGTTCAACCACCTAAACCCTAAACGCTAAACCCTAAACCACATGGCTACAGGGAGGGTAGAGATGGATGATGATGACAGCATATTGGGCCCCTTCGAGGAGGAGTCTCTGGAGTCCCTTGAGTCCTTATGCGAAGAGGCCGGGGGCTTAGATTCTTGGGCTGTAGGGTTTCGGGTTTAGGGTGTAGGCTTCGGGGTTTAGGCACCTTCCAATCCTCCTTGACCCCATCTAAACCCCTCAAAATTTCAAAAAGGGATAATTATTATTGTTATCCTTATCAAAATTCCCATCATTATTCTTATCATCCTTACAACTTGTAGTAATTTTATTATTGCTATCATTAAGGGTTATTGCTGTTAGTAAAGAAGGGACTCCCCTTGCCAAGGTTTCCAGGCCCCATCTGCTGCGAAACGGGCTTTTTGGACGCCTGGCCGAGAGGCTCCCGGTCCTGAACAATGTCATGCAGGCCAGGAAGCCCAGGGTTTAGGGTTTAGGGTTTAGCGCTGTAGGGTTTTAGGCTTTAAGGGTTTAGTTAGAGTCTAGGGTTTAGGGTTTTGGGTTTAGGATTTTTTTGGTTTAGGGCTCAGGGTTTAGGGTGTAGGGCACCTTTGTTTTTTTTTGGGCGCTAGGGGAATAGGGTTAAGGGATGGGAGCTTGGGTTTGGGGATTAGGGTTTAGGGTGGGGTTAGGCTTCTGGAAGAAAGGCAGGAGCTGAAGCGTGTAGGTTCAAGCCTCCTTGGGATGCATGAGTTTAGGGTTTAGGGTTTAGGGGTTTAGGGTTTAGGGTTTCAGGGTTTCAGGGCTTAGGGGTTTAGGTTTAGGGTTTAGGGTTTCGGGGTTTAGGGTGTCAGGGTTTAGGGTTTAGGGGTTTAGGGTTTAGGGTTCCCTCTGTTTAGTAGGGAAGCAGGAACGGAAAAGATCATGGAGCCCTTCCTTCATACCTTGCAGACTAGTGGTAAGGTTTAGGCGAGTACCAGGTCCCTCAAGAGGATCACTTTGAGTCATGTGAGGGCCTGGTCCCAAAAAGAGCACCTTGAAGAAAAGCTTAAAACCCTTGCGCCCTTCGCTGCAAACTTGTGTTCCTAAAGAGCCTAAGCCCCTATCCTTAAACCAAAATGCTTGAAGTCTGCCCGTGAGACCCTAAACCCTAAACCCAATGGCAAAAGAAGGGCACCTGGGACACTCCCATATGCTCACATCCCGTAAATAATCCTGAACAGGGACATATGAGCTATAGTCTAACCTTCTTAAAGGAGGTCATATAAGGGATTATATAGTGGACTAGGGGATGCTAAGGGGGATACTGCGAATTTAGACTGTAGCTCATGTGACTTTGAGATTCCCCCCGTGCAGGCCCTTCACACTCGAGCAGGGGACGAGGATCGCATCTGCTTCTGGTAGCCAAGTGATGTCCCCTAGGCCCTAGCCTTTCCCATCACTCTAAAACTCCTTGTCAGTATCATCTTATTCTATTTCTGCTAGTAATTACGTGTGCTCCTGCTCCTTGCCCCTCGTCCTGAAGCCATCTCTGGAGGAGTCCCTTCGGCGAGCCAAAGAGACGAACCCGCTTCGGGCTTCAGGGAGGCTGGCACGCGGTGCCGAGCATGTGCCACTGCTGAACAACGTCACTGGGTAGAATTGAATGTCAGGTTTGATCGTGGCACCCCGCACAGCGTCTTTGAACCAAAAGGCAGCGCATGCTGAGCAAGTGAACGAATTTTGAAGGTAGGCATGGTATGCAGGAAGGCAGGCAGATAGTTTTACAAACAATGCCTCGACACCCAAAACGCAAAGCAAACCCTTACAGCCCCAGGAAAACACACCCAAACACAACATCCCAACCTAGGCACACTTGCCCGTCAAGGCCAGAAGGCTGAACTGAAGCCCAACCCCAAAACCTCAACCACAAAACCCCAACCCCAAAATTGTTATGAAGTATCCTGCACACCGCGGGTTAGGGTTTAGGTTTAGGGTTAAGGGTTTATAGTCTAGGGTACCCTAAACCGCCCCTAAACAATGTGACTCAAGCCTGAAACCCAGGTCATGCAGACGCTGCACAGAGCAACTGGCAGATCCGAGGAATTCCGGCGCGCCCGCCGGAAGAATCCTCTGGGCGCGAACGGCTGCCCTGTAGAAGTGTGGAAAAGTGGTAATTATTAGGGTTCAGGGTTCAGGGCGAGGGAATCGAGAAAGAGTACACGGCTGGGGATGGCTAAGTGGGCTTGAGTTGAGATCATAGGTTTCCAACAATTAGGAAAGAGACTCAATTTCTCGGAGACCCTTTTTTGGGTGACAAGTTGCTTGAGGAGGCCTACGTGAATGTAAGTAGAGTATGGATGCCGTCAGGGACTTGTTGCGATACTCATCCAGATTTCGGGCTTCAGGGTTTCAGTGGTTCTTCACATGAGCTATCCTTAAAGGAGATTTTCTAGGGGATTATATAGCGGACTAAGGGGTTGCTAAAGGGGATACTACATGCGTGCGGCAACTTTGGGGTGCAGCAGTTGGTACTCCGCAACCTCCCAGCTGTAGCATCTTCTCGCTGTTGGCAGAGCTCATAGTCTCGGCAAGGAGGGCCTGAGCCTAAACCCTGAATCCTAAGCCCTAGACCGTGACCAAGGCTACATCACAAAGTTTGGTGAGCACATCCCTGGCCTAGCTGATACCATCTGCTGCATCCACAAGTTTCGTGGCCTGGATGCGGAGGCCGAGAGGGCCCGCGCCTTCTCGCTCCACAGGATGGTGGGCCGGAAAGGCAGGGCTGAAGAATGTAGGGTTGGCAAAGTATGTCAGGGAGAGTAATGTAGAGACTAGCTCAACAGGTTTCAGAACAGTAATAGCGCTGAAGACTAATGCTGCTTAGCCGTTGTAGAACCAGTTGTAGGAAGTGTGGTGCTAATCCAACAGTCAAGTAGCAGCCGCATGCAAGGCGCCATCACCCAGCTGGCACAGCTCCTACCTGGCACCAACTTGATCGCTGCCCTCCTGGCGGAGGCCAAAGGAGACCACAGAGAAGCTGTAAAAGCATTGAATTTATTAAAGCGATGGCGAGATGTGGCCAGTGCAGATGGCGCTCTTGCAAGAGTCGCGGAGCTTTTACCTGGTGTTGATATCATTTCCTTCGGGCTCATGGTGAACCACGGTCACTTTGCAACTGCTGTCCGAGCCATCTGCAAGACCCGGTGGGTGGAGATCACCGCTACCTCTTCCGCTTTGGCCTTGTCTGCGGGAGCCATGGAGGATTGGGTCATTCTGTCAGTGGACTCAGACATGCTGATCCAGCCAAGAGCAGCCTCCCTAGCAGGTGGGTTGCTTGATGTTTTCATCCATCTCCTGGACTTTGACGCTTTTGGAAACCACCGCTGGGTGGTGGAGGAGCTGCCCTCAGCTTGCACCCGGAAGAAGCGACGGGGCTTGAGAAGAGCTTTTGAGGATGTTAAGATTACGAAGGCCAACGAGGCGCTGCATGGGGTTCTGGATTACCTCTTTCTCTACTCGCCTGGCGCGGTCAGTTACATGACTGAACTTACTAACTGGGCTGTGTACGAGTGGCAGCCGTCCTCTCCAGGAAGCGCGAGGGCCCTCTGCATGTTCAACATAATGTGCCCGCCGATGGTTTCGAGGAGCCTTCCCAACAGAGCTCCCAGCGCTCAGTTTGCCAGGGCGATACAAGATTCCTTGCCTGGAGTCCGGGCAACGCATGGACAGATGCCTCTGAACCCATCGAACTTCCAGTTGCCTGTGCGGACTTCAGCAAGTGATGGGCCTACATGGAAAGACAGGTTGTGTGAAGCTGCAACTGGGATTCTTGCTGGTGTGTCATGCTTCTCGATCTCCTGCATCGCAGGTGGCGTGCACAGTGTGCTCCCCCTCGCCTGCTTCACAGGATGTTTCGCAGGGGTTGGAGTCGGCCTGGGGGGCTACGTCCGCAACCGGGTCCGCAGCAATGTGACAGCGTGGTTCAATAAGGTGAACTCGGATGCCTGGCGGTGCATGTCCGCGCCCGTGGTGCCGCTCCGCGAGCAGGTGGAGCAGTGCTGTGAGGCCCAAGAGGAGCTACCGGACTCCGTGCAGATGCTGCTTGCTGGTGGTTAGTGGGGAATGAAGAAATGGTTTCAATCGGGGCTATATTAAATAAGATCCCTTCCTCCATTCCTACTACTGTTCTTACTACCATTATTCCTATTGTTACTAGTCCTGCTATGACTTACGATTACTACTCCTACTGCTGCAACGATTACTGCTACTATTTTTCGTTTTATTGTTACTGCGATTATTGCAATTAGTCGTATGAAGCACTGCGAATAAGGCTTGCGGAAGAGCTGCCAGACGATGATCCCGATGAGGTTATCGAGCCCCTGGGTGTCATCTTTGAGTGGCAAAATGGGCTCCTGGAGGATGTGCGGGCGGCGGAGATCCTACGGGAGTCTAGGTGGCAATTGGGTTTAGGGTTAAGGGTTTAGGGTTGGGATAGTTACCCGTATATAATTAAAACAGCCCCATCCCCCAATCTTGATTTTTTCCTGTAGGAAACGTTGTAGATTGCGGGCCTTTTTATTTCCCATGGGGCGGCAAGGGGAGTTCGCACTTATACAACCCCTGAAGGAGTTTAGACTATAGCTCATATTGCTCTACAAGCAGACCAACTTTTCATGAATGAATTAGGGGGCGTTGCAAGCCAGGAGTACATCCTCTATGAGTGGATGACACCAACCAGGCCCATGAACTGGGTGCATCCCATGGTTTGGATCCTACATCTCCTTGAGCGGCCGTTACGAGGCCAGGGCTGGGATGCCAAACTAGTCCCATGTAGGGGTTATCTTGGAAACTACTATAATGGGGTTATATAGGGGTAATATTATTATTGGGGTTATATAGGGATAATGGAACAGAAAATGCAAGCTACTATTTAGGGTTTAGGGTTGCATTGATGCTCAGTTAAGGTGGTGAGTTCCCCCAGAGTCATAAGTGCGCACAAAATGTCAAAACCCTAAACCCTAATTTGGGGGTTGGCTCCTCAGTGGAAGATGTAGTTTGACTGGACGGTAGGCGGCTTGCTCAAGGCTCAATCTGCAAGTTTCTCAAACCAACGTGTTGCTGTAGGGATTCCATAGGGGTTAAATGGGAAGTATGTAGGGGTTTTATGTGGATGAGATAGGGTTTAGGGCTTGAGAGTATTTGTCTCTAGACTTCCTGAGGTTTGCAGTGTGCAGTAGAAGAGACAAAGCAAGCATGGTCCTCTCTTGCCCAGAACTCTTCAACGACTGCTTCGAGGACCAGGTGGTGCCTCTGGCTGCTCGGCTACATGCGAGCTCATAGATTGGTTGTCCAAATTGTGATCCGTTTTTTGCACGTTATGATGGTCATGATTGTTATACGGCCCCAGATACTTAGGGTGCCCAAAAAGGTCCATTCTTTTGACAACCCCTCACAAGAAGTTCTCAAAACTATGGCTCCCCTGTAAGGGTGGCCAATGTGGAATCTTAGTGTTTTCTGGGGTGCGTCTGGTCACCCTGATGTTGAGAAATCTGAAATTGCAAATCCTGCCCTGTGTATTCGGACCAACTGGCCTTCATATGATTTAAGGAGCTCGGCCGATTGTGAGCAGTCTGCGCTGCGCCAAGCCCTGGAAGCCCTAAATAGTAGTCACTATCTAACCCACCCATTGCAAATAGTTTCCATTTTCTTTTCCATTATCCCTATATAACCCCAATATATACCCTATAATCCCTATACAACCCTTATATAACCCCTATATCCCCCTTTAAAGGGTACCCCTAATTTTGGGAAACCTTCAAATAATTGCCAATGTGCAGTCCTAGTCACCTTGCATAGTCAAGGTCGAGGGTGCCTTGAAATA